TCCATATTCCTTGGAAACTGCTGTTGTATTTCTTCTCTCCTCCGTGCATTTTGGCTGCATGAGCAGTGACACTTGCAGTCTGAATATAAGAAAAAGACCAAAAAAAGTTATAGGACCTTAAACATTGTCTGGTTTTATCTAGAATAAACATATGGATCTGGTGTTAATTTAGCTGAAAAAAATGAACACAACTGTCCAAAAAATGCTCAAGGTTTTGCTTCTGCCAAATGGAAACTGTAATAATATATTCCTTATAAGACACAAACACTATTGTCTTCATGCCCCACTCAGGCTGGATCTACACTGGTTTATTATCCAGTATCTGATTCCAGGTTATCTGCTTTTTACTGGCAGTGTAGATTCAGCCTGAGGTGGGTAGAGAAGAAGTGACAGGTAGGAGAAACCCTGCAAATTTTGGTAATGATCTCAATGGTATGGCCTTGTTCAGAAGCTGACAGCAACATGGATGCTGTGGAGAGTACAGCAGTGCAAACCAAGGTTTCAATAGCTATGACTGACCTGCAGACCAGGTTTGAGGTCTTATTCACCTGTGTAAAATTACACAAAATAAAGTTATGCTACAGTGCCAATTGTGTTTTCTCTTTTTACACAACAGTTGCCCAACTCTTTACCATCTCCAAGGATTATTATTACCAACCCTTCTAAGAAGTGCCCCAAGGCTACTGAGATCTTTTGTATCGGCATACCCTAGGCATGATGCCATCTTTGTTCCATCTCTAAGGCTGGAACTACATTGCCATTTCGGACCTTATCAGATGGCCATTTGTAAAGTGGGGGGACCTTGGGGAACAGTGGGAAAAATCGTGGGCAATGGAGGGAACTGTCACACTGTATCCCCTATCATTGGGGTCTGTAGTATTCCTTCCTATGATGTTTCCCGGTCTGTCCCTGCTTCCTCTTTGCCTCCTCTGGCTTTGTTGCAATGCTGCTGGCACTGAGCCTCATGGGGTCCCACCAGAAGTAACCCAGCATCATGTGATGGGCTCCGAGGGACTCCGTGATGGCAGCAGGGAGAAGACGCTTCTCTCCCTGTGTATGATGAGGTCCATAAAATCCAGATTATCTGCTTTGTGCTGGATTATATGACAGTGTAGCCTCATACAATCCAGTTCAAAGCAGATAGTGTTGGCTATCTGCTTTGATAATCTGGATTATACTGAAGTGTAGATCCAACCTAAGAGAGCATAACTGCTTGTTCAGTGTAATTTATGGTAGTATCAAACCATCATAGGTATCCGACTCATGTGTTGTCCACCTAAAGTGCACACTTCCATTTCAGCTCTCCCTTATGCACACATGCTCATGCACACAGAGCATGCAGTTATCAAAAAAGAACATCCAACTGTCTGCTTAGTTTGTGTACATATATATTTATTTTATATACAAATAAAATAGTTTTTTTTTAAAAAAGAAAAGAAATAATATCAGAACTATGTGAACAGACATTTTGGTTACAACAATATCTCCTTTTCTTCCTAGAAATGCCAGGCAATGACATGTCTTGAATTAGGAACATTGTGGAGAGTGTGTGTGTGTGCATTCCCTTTAACAACTTTCTAGCCACTTTGTGACATCTTTGACATATCACCTCCCTGTATTTATTATTTACATTATACTGCATGGGTCATACAAGGCTTTTATTGCAAATATCAGTGTCCACCCATAAGGCTGGACTTTGTACCTACTCCCTGATAAAGTAATATCACTGTACACTGCACCCGTTTCACAGTGAAGAAAATAGCTTTGGATACAAATCTGGCAATTACCATAACCGAGTGTGTAACAGCCAATTGTGCAATATGATTTAGTTTTCATTTAGCCGTAAGTCAGAGACAGGAAAGCTTCTGACCATCTAGCCAGATTGTCTACCTTTTGAGTTCTCAAATGTTTCTGAAACTTTTACCTCTAAAGAGCAACCTTGACAAAGTCTTCCAAGCAATCCCTTTTTATAGCAAATAAATGGTCTAAGCTTGGACTTATTCTCACCTCTCTGTCCTGTTTTTTTTTTGTTGCAGTATTTTCTTTTTCTTATTTAGGAATAGGAAATATACTGCCTTCCAGATGTTTCAGACTACATCTGTACAAGCTCTGGACTTTGTACTGGCTGAGGGAGTTGGGGGTGGTAGGCTAAAATATATGGAAAGCAAAATGTTGCAAATTTCCTTATTTTTATCCATTGCTTGGATTGTTATCAAATCTTCATGAGAAATAGTGAAGGCAAATGATGCCCTTTTCATGTAGCAGATTTTGACAGACCATGTGTGTCTATGAGTGACTATGTGACCAGAGACAAGAAACCACAATGGCTGTGCTCTCAATGCATACAGTTTCAGTGGAGTGACTGAAAAGAGATTACTTGCATTTAACATGCATGGACTTGCAGTCTGTTTATAGTCTGCAAGAGTGTGAAAAGTGCTTACCCCATTGGGTACATGTTGTGTGGGGCAGGGCCAACATCCATGATCCTGGCCCCTTCCCATGCATTTCTAGACACCATTCTGCATTAGGGTTTACATCAGTGGTTCTCAACCTGTGGGTCCCCAGGTGTTTTGGCCCACACCTCCCAAAAATCCTAGCCAGTTTACCAGCTGTTAAGATTTCTGGGAGCTGAAGGCCAAAACATCTGGGGACCCACAGGTTGAGAACCACTGGTTTATATGAGGTGGTCAATGTGATCAAACCTGGGCTGATCACTGAGCTTTTGCTTCATCACACCCCATGAATTTCCCTGTACATAAAATATATGTTTGCAAACACAGGTATTTTTCATGTGCACATACAAGAGCTCTTATGCATCTAAACCTAAAAGCTTTCTGTGGAGCTACCTTTACTCTTTATTCTTTATTCTCCATCACTAGCTTTCCAGTAAAACATAAATATTTAATGGCATCATATTCTGTAAAGTGTGTAAGGGCATCTACAGGGAGTTGCCTTTCTGGGAAAGGGTCCTTGGAAAATAGAAGTTGTTTTTAAAAACACATTAATGCTATTTGTTAAGTTTCCTGCCATGTTAGCAGCATTTTTCTCGAGGTAGGAATCAGTTTTAATGACAGAGATGTAATGAAATTAACTACAGTGGAAAACTCTACTTGCTTCACAAAGATGCATGGGCAGTTCGTAAAACGTTGAACATCACAACATTATTTTTTTCTTTTAAAGGAAGGGGGAATCCTCTAAGCAGCAAACCAATTTGAAAGAAAGACACACTGTGAGAAATCATTATGTACATTTTAAAACAGGCACACATGCAAATGGAGTAAAATAGAATATATGCAAAACTGTCAAAACAAGTTAAACAGCTTTTACAGGCAGCTACCAAGAGCAATAATCTTGTGATTCACATACACACACACACACATTTTTGTATTTATATTCAGGTATTAATAAGCACTTAAAGTGCTGACTTAGGTCCCAATTACACTGCCATATAAAATCCAGATCATCTGCTTTGATAATCTGGATTATATGGCTGTGTAGATCCAGTCTTAGCCTACCAAGACTGGAATAAAATAAATTAGGAAATATATCACCATCCCCTGCTACCATACAATCAGATCTAAACAGACTGATCTTCAAATCATTTCCTTCAACTGGAGACTAGAATGCCTGCCTCAAAGTGAGGAATTAGGGCTGCAAATGACTGCATTTTCACCTCAAGAGCTGATACTAGATAATGTGAAGATGATAACATGGCCAACATAATGAAAGTCTTCTGCAGAAAAAAGACATCTCTATATTGAATGGAGCCAAGTGTCTGGGGAGCACTCTTTTACAGCAAAAGATGCTCATGCTTCTCATAAAGCTGTCACTATCATTAAAAGTAGTCTCAGTGGAATACCAGTGCCAAGGATTATGAATCCAAGATCAAACCTTTTTCTAAGATGATGAATTGGTGGGTCAGAGCTAGCCAGGCATGGCTGTTGATACCAATCTTAAAGCATGAATTGCATTCTGTCCTACCAGTCTGAGCATGCCAGCCCTACCTTAACTCACTGACTAGCCCCATCTGTGGAATGTTGTGACATGCACCTCTCTTGCACTCCCTAAGTATCACATTATTTGATAGTAAGTTATAGTAACACTAGTCATAGTAATATTAATACAGTCATCCATCCCAAAATTCTATCTTTCCTGCAAACCAAGATGTGTTTGTGTACGAGTGTACTCATGTGTGTGTGAGAAAGAGGGGCCAGGCAAAGACTTGTTTGGACTTGTTTGCTGTTGCAGAAATGACAGCTGTTCCCAAGTTGCAAGGAGACCTTATTTCAAAGACCATAGTCAGAGGCCATCTTTTTATAGGCACTGTAACTACCCCAGTTACGTGCTTACAGGCATGTCTAAGCCAGATATTTTATCTTCTATCTTAGCACTCTCACTCTCTCTTTCTCTGGAGGTTATACGAATCGTATTGTTGTAATAATGTGCATTGTTACCTTGTTTCTAAACTACGGTTTGATGCAATTTCACCCTTATGGTTGGGTGGCCCCTATGCATAAACAGCAAATGCTGCCAACAGCAAGGGAGGGAGCTGTTTGGCAATTTGCCTACATCTCTTTCGTCACATTGATTTCCATCTGGGATCATCTCTTAGTCTTTAAGGATTGACTTTTCAGGGCACCATGATATATGAAGAAAGGGTAGCAAAAGAAAGCGTCTGCACAATGAATGGGGAAGGGCTATGGCTTAAGGGCAGGGCACCTGCTTTGTACACTGAAGATCCTAGGTACTACTCCTGGGATCACTTGGAAGGCCTGATAATAAATCACTTTCTGAAATTCTACCAGTTTTTTCCCTCCAATTAGATGTTGTTCAGTTTTTTTTGTGGGCAGTACAATCCCCACCTAAAACATATGAATATTAGCCATGACGACCTGAGCTAGTGGGAGCTGTATTACCCCCTAAACCAGTGGTTCTCAACCTGTGGGTCTCCAGGTGTTTTGGCCTACAACTCACAGAAATCCCAACCAGTTTACCAGCTGGAGACCCACAGGTTGAGAACAACTGCCCTAAACCCTGGAGAGATCCAAGCTGAAGTAGGATGTTATAGAACTGATATAGGCAGTATATCTAACTGTATCCATTCTGCCAGCCATTTTTAGAAAGTTGAGATCTTTATAGGGGGAACAAATATTTCTGCCTTTTGCTGGCAAGAGCAAAATCAGGATCTCAACCAGGATTTATTTTGCCTACACTTATATACATGCACTAAGTTGTCATGTACATGTATAAATGGATTGGGAAGGCACAAATCATAGCAGTTTCCCATCCCACCCAAAAGCGGGGAGGGTTTTCCAGGGAATGTTCTGATAGTGGTTTCCCATCATGCACACCACAAAATAGACACATATATTTCTCACACATAGTTGTGCACATGCTATCAAGGTGAAGAAATGGTCTTCATTTTTTGAAAGCTTGTCCTGAATGTGGATCAACACTCCCATTGTCTTTAGACATTGTGAAGGAATTGGAGGACGATGAACGACAGCTTCCAGTTCTGCACTTTTTAGCCATGATCAGGCCTGATTTTAAAGGAGTTGCTCTGGATCCTTAGCTTTGAGCGGCATTTTGGTCTTCGACAAGGAATTGCTGTTTTGCGGAATGCGACCTGCAAATTTAAGCCAGAGTTCTAGAAACAGTTGTGGCGAGTCCATACGTTTAGCTTATCCTTTCCTTCAAATAATATTTCCACCTAAAAAGAAAAGACAGGAAGTCAGAAAAAAAGAGAAAGCAACATTTTATTGAAACACTGCATAGAGCATCACACTGCCATTGCGCCTTCAGTCCTCAAAAATCACCAATATGGCCATCTCATGCAGTGTTACTGCCAGATCACCCTTCCTCCATGTACTACAGGCAACTTTAGTTTACCTTTTTACACTGTTGCTTGATTCACAATCCACCCCAAACAGTTATTAAATTGTTTGGTAATGCTTAAAAAACCTATTATTTGAAGGGTTGAGAAAATGGCTTTGTGACTGATCCAAGGTCTACGGTATTGAAATGACTATACTAGATTTGTTCATATCATCAGTGTGGTATTTTTGCATTCTTTTAATAGTTGTTTTAAAATATTGTTTACTATAGTTTACTAAATGGTCATAGTTTTCAATGATGTGGGATCATGGAGTGTGGAGTTAGACGTGCAATGGGTTAAACCCTTGGGCTCCTGAACTACTGATCTGAAGGTTGGCAGTTTGAATCTGTGGAACAGGGTGAGCTCCCTCTGTTAGCCTAGCCCCTGCCAATCTAGCAGTTCAAAAACATGCAAATGTGAATAGATCAATAGGTACCACTTCGGCAGGAAAAGGCAAAAAGACGCTCCAAGTAGTCATGCTAGCCTCACAACCAGGAGGTGTCTATGGACAATGCAGGCTCCTCAGCTTGGAAATGGAGAAGAGCATCTCCCCCAGAGCCATAGATGTGCACCACCCGCAGAACCAGAAATGAAAGGAGAAGCTTTTGTCTCTGTCTATGTGTCTCATTGTATTTCATTGTAACAGGGTACTGAATGTTTGCCTGCATCTCTTTCTATGCTGTAATCCACTCTGAGTCCCCTTGGGGAGAAGGGCAATATATAAAGTCTTTGTGTTGTTGTTGATGTTGTTGTTGTTGTTGTTGTTATGTTGTTGTTGTTGTTATTGTTATTTTACAATGTCTTCAGCTTGCTCTGGAAAAGACTGTTGGTGGCTCACCAAACAATAACTCCTAGAATTCCGTAGCATTGAGCCATAATCTTTAAAGTGAGGTCAAATTGCATTCGTTTTACAGTGTAGATACATCCCAAGTAGCCTTAGCAGGGCTGCAAATTTCTGTGGGTCTGTACTTCTCTCTTTAATTGAATAATGTGCAAATCACAAGAACCACAAGGGATCTGACGATTTTGGTACAGGTGGTATTTAATTTCACTTTATTGTCTATTGAAATAATAGAGAATTGTATGTGTGTGTTTTTGTTTTAAAAAGACCTAATTATTTTTAAACAGCCATCCCTCAAAATAAATAGATTTCAAGTGCTTCCAGAATCTCTTTTATTTATTCATGCAATGTTTTACAAGTTATAATAACATCCCATGAAAAATTAAGCTGGGAATATAAAAGATTCATGGCAAAGCTTCTGACCCATTAAAAACGGAAAGCCTTGGGTTTTGTTTTAGAAAATCTCTCAAGTAAATTCAGCACACACCAGAGAAACTACACACCACCCCTAATGAATTGCTTCTCTTTTTCTTTTTCAAGAAATTATCATCATCATCATCATCATCATCATCATCATCATCATATGGCACATAAATGAATTTTACATTTTGACCTGGGTCCCATCTCCAAGATATTTAATTGTGTACATATATGGAAGCACAGGTATACCAAAATCCAATAAAATAAAATAAAATCCCTAAACACTTCTGGCCCAAAGTGTTTTGGTTAAGGGATACTCAACAAGTAAAACAAGTTAAAACAGAGGGGGAAACAGACTTAAAACATATTAAACTACTTTACAAGTTGAAACGAGACGGTTTACAACCAGTTAAAACAGCGCAAGGCAATTTAAAACAATGTACATGTCCAGATTTGAATGAAATCAGTTACCCCTGATAAAAAGCCACATTTGTACTGGATGCTATAATAATATTCAGTTTGCTACCACACAAAGCTTTAACAAGATGCGTTCCTTCAATGTGTTACCCTTAATTTTATTCATATCTATCTATCATATATCTTATCTACCATCCATCTATCAATCTATCTATGTGTGTGCGCACATGAACACAAGCTTGCTTTTAATATAGCAAATGTTTAAACCAGAGTTTTCATAGAATCATAGAGTTGGAAGAGACCTCGTGGACTATCCAGTCCAACCCCCTGCCAAGAAACAGGAAGATCACATTCAAAGCACTCCTGACAGATGGCCATCCAGCCTCTGTTTAAAAGCCTCCAAAGGAGGAGCCTGCACCACTATTCCAGGGCAGAGAGTTCCACTGCTGAACAGCTCTCACCATTAGGAGTTCTTCCTCATGTTCAGGTGGAATCTCCTTTCCTGTAGTTTGAAGCCATTGTTCCACATCCTTGTCTCCAGGGCAGCAGAAAAACAAGCCTCTCCCTCCTCCCTATGACTTCCCCTCACATATTTATGCATGGCCTTCATCATGTCTCCTCTCAGCCTTCTCTTCTGCAGGCTAAACATGCGCATCTCTTTAAGCTGCTCCTCATAGGGCTTGTTCTCCAGACCCTTGATCATTTTAGTTGCCCTCCTCTGGACACATTCCAGCTTGTGAACATCTCCCTTAAATTGCGGTGCCCAGAATTGGACACAGTATACCTTGTGTTCCAAGGCAGAATAGAGGGGTAGCATGACTTCCCTGGATCTACTTTCCAAATATTTCATGTTGGTGACACACCTTTTAGGCATGCATTATTTTGCAACACAGTAATTCAGTTTTACTTGCAATCCGGAGGTGAAGCCATCCTTTTACAAGTGATGCAGATGTATACATAAATTATAATAGCAAAATGTTTTGGGGACACAAAATATCTCATGAAAACTTTTCATTTATATATTTTTTAAAATATATGATTTGTAAGATAGTATCATACATTTCCAAGATTTTTGTCATCTCTTGTTACATTTATGCAACACACCTACATACTGCAGCGGATACACTTAACATGTGCGACACACAGTTTGGAAAGCTCTGGTTTAAACACTGCCAGGTGATACATAGAATTGGGGAGGGAGAAAAGGACAGAGAAACTAGGTTTGCATGAATCTCAAAAGCTTGGGACCTGCGAAGGAAGAACCCACCAATCATTTGGGGCTAATTGCTGCCAAGTAGAATTCAGCCCTGTGGGTGTTTCTAGGAAAGCTCCTTTAACTGCTGTTTATCAATTCTTTTGCAAATAGAGGCTTAGCATCCATGTGGGTGGGATGGGTTTTCAGCAGCTATGTACTGCATTCCCAGCAGGTGCAGAGGACGACCTCCCACTCAATGTCAATTTGCACAAATGGAAAGATTTATTATTAAAATCAAGCCTACATGAAGATGTGCCGCTTTTTAAAATACACACACACATGCATATTTAACTTGGACTATTCAAACTTTAGAAACACAAAGTGGGCAGAACGATTGCAACCTCTTCCTGTTCAATAAGATTCTTGTGGCTTTGAGAGGACAGAAAAGCAACAGACGTAACCTCTCTTGGCACTGTGTTGACTTCTGGCATGAAAAAGGAACACATTCCTTAAGCACTTTAACAGGTAAATACGGAGGTGCATTCATAAAGTAATGCCATTACATAGTGAACATAGACACTTGGTGAGTTAGCTTCCTGTGACAAGCTTCCAAGGAGAAATCAGTATTCAAGAAAAGACAAGCAGCAGAATATGAATATTGTCATTACCTCTTGGGAGAAGGATCAAGAGGTTTATGAACCGATTGGATGCTCTCTAAAGCCAGTAATCTTTAACTCACAGTTATTGATGAATTTTGAAAAATATATCTTATTTCCACACATGCAGGCTCATGTTGAGGATATACGGAATGATTAGCATCCATCCTGCTATTGCTACCAGCAAATATTGGAGAGAGTCAGCTGGAGCTCCCGGTAGTGCAATGAATTAAACCCTGATTCCGGCAGGACTGAAGACCGACAGGTCGCAGGTTTGAATCTGGGGAGAGCGCGGGTGAGCTCTCTTTATCAGCTCCAGCTCCCCATGCAGGGACATGAGATACGCCTCCCATAAGGATGGTAAAACATCAAAACATCCGGGCATTCCATCGGCAACGTCCTTGTAGATGGCCAATTCTCTCATACCAGAAGTGACTTGCAGTTTCTCAAGTCACTACTGACATGAAAAAAGCTCTACCATTTATACACGACGATTGCTGCATTTGTGGAACTGATACCTGTGCTTTTCACCTACCCACATTTGACAAAATACTGGTATGTCCTCTCTAGGAATTCACTATGGACCCCATCACATTTAGAGAGGGAAAGGGAACCGTGATACCCTGTTCCCTCCACTCTTTCCCCATCTTGTGAGATGGCTAGCCATCCCACGTCATTTTTGCATCTTACCCCATTCCCCCCATTTTCCCCTGCATTCTTCATTCAGGAGTAGGGTAACACCCAACTACTGAAGATGGTCTTTGGGCTCCGTTTCCATGCACTGCAGAAATGGAGTCCCACAGAGTCCCACCGGAAATGCCCTTATTTTGTCTGATGGCCTCCATGAGACTCCAGTGGGGCTCTGTTTCCACAGCACATGAGCCCGAAGACTGTCTAATGAAACCCAAAATCTCCAGGTATTTTATGGTATGCTTTCACTGGATGTTACTGCAAGCTTGCACTGGAGGACCAGTTAATTCCACGAGGGGATACATCTCTTGAAATTTCTAGGTCCTACAGGGTGATTCTATGGTAACTTCTGGCAGAAGTCACTCATTTCAATAGGGTTACTATTATTCACAATTTTTGTTGTTTCTGTATTAAGTTCAGGAACATATCCCCCATGGATATATGAGAATGTATTACCTTCACAAAAAATGTTCAGCAGATTGATCTGACAGTTGGTGGATTTGAAAAGTTCATTTGTGGTTAGTTGACGCTGATTTTTAGGCAGAAAAGATAAAATGTGTTTTTTGGGGGGTATATAAGTAGGATGAGTGTCGTCATGCAACAATAGCTACTAAGG